CCATCCTGGGAGCCCAGGATCGCCCGCCGTATCGCCGCGACGCCAGCTCCGCCCTCCACCAGAAACACTCTTAACTAATCAGGCTCATAAGATCCTTTTTCAAATACTTCAGTGCTATAAAGATACACTAGGACTACGCCATTGTCTCGATCTATTAAGGAAATTGTCCAATTAAGATTAGATAGGTTTAACAGCACTTGTTTTTGAATTGTAGTAATCATTGCATAGTTTTCAAGGTAATCATAGCCATAGTTTTACTGTATTATCTTCTCTAGAATTGTCCTAGTTATTAAGGTCAAAACTACAAATATGTTTGTAAAGTATTCCATTTGCCTTGCTGAAATATGTTTATTTTGTGTTCTAGTAGTCTGTAAAATATAGCATATGGAAAAACTATTTCAAGATACTTTGAGAAACCTAATAGCTGGGCATCTATACACTTGGATTCAGAGCATGAATAGGATATTAAACGTGCAGGAATGTGGCATGCTATAAAAATTTTTATAGACATTCACTGGAGATGTTTTGTAAAGTATACTCATGGCTACGCCATCATGCCTTTATGTGTTTGTTTATACTAAAATCATATTCACCCAAACACATTTCAATTAAAAGTGGGCTTTCCTCCTTCACTATGGTTCATGTCTATAGATGCTTGCCGAAAAATTTCCAGCTCCTGGAGAAATGAAGGAACTGTACAATTTCAGGTTCAAAAAGTGCTCCATTGTTATTTGTTTTACGTTTTAAGTAGGAAAGTAATCTTTTTCTATATGCATTATAAGTAGGAAAGTCAAGTGATTTTAATAGCTTCACCATCTTCTGTTTAATTTATTAGCCAGTATTACTGCCAAAGGTCATTATAAAGTAGTAACTTTTCTGAGATACTGAAGGAAATGTATGTTGGGTTTTGTTTACTAAATTGTAAGTTATCACTCACTGTTTACAAAATACATTTTTAATTTCCTAATAACAGTTTTCAATTAGTTTTGGCATTCTTGTAGTATTTATTCCATTGTTATAGATGACAGAAGTGATTTTGTTAAAAAAAAAAATCCCCAAATTTCCCCCAACAGAAAATTTTATTATTGTCACACTCATATCAGTGAACTAGCATGTTCTCAGAATATTTGAATATCACCTGATTCTAATCCTTTCCTATTTTGTATTATGTGATCAAGCTCTTTATTCTTATAAATAAAAGAATGTGTGTGAGCAAGAATAAAGGTGTATTAATCTTTAAAGTACAAAAAATGCACTAATGGAATGAAAATATTTCTATGAAAATATCTGTGGTTTTGAATTATAATAATGTTTCCAGTAAAGCAGAACTGATATGAGCCAAAATTCAACAGATTTTTCCATGGAATTAAAAACACAACTTATTTTGCATTAATTGCTCACTGAATGTTAAGATTTCTCAGTTAAGAGAAATACATCTGTTTCACCTTGCTAGGAGTAGTACATACGGCAGGAAAGGAGAACACAGCACAGCTCTTCGGAAACTTTTCACACGTATGGAGCTTCATGAATTCAAGGTCCAGCTTCTTCTCTTTTTATTAGGACATGAGGCAGTCAGGCAGTTTTGTTTAACATGTAGAGCAAGAAAATCATGATAGAGTATCAGTTCAGAGGTTGAATGTCCAACATGTTGTTGAGCTGTAGATCAATGTTTGAAAGGGCACAGAATCCCAATCAACAATGTAGACCAGGATAGAAAACTTTTCTTTCTTCTGGAAGGCTTCCTCTCCTTTGGATAATCTGTTGGGGCCATAGGGTAGGAAGGACTAAAGTAAGGAGGGAGCAGAGAATGGATGCTCTTTGCCTCTGTGATAAACTCTCTCTCTCTCTCTCTCTCTCTCTCTCTCTCTCTCTCTCCCTCTCCCTCTCTCTCTCTGTGTCTCTCTAACATCCTTTTTTTTTTCTTTTTATCAAGCTGTAGGCTATGTGAAAGAGATAGTTCTTACCAAGGTTCTGAACTGATCTGATGAAAAAAGGTTTTGAAATTAAGCTGAGGGGTTTATGAAATTGCCCATCCCTGATGTAGAACTTTCTGCTGGTTCTAGCAAACAACAGGGCATCATCAAAAATATGCACATGATCACAGCTCCATTGATTTAACTAAACTAGATAGAGAAGTACCAGGGATGAAGAGATTGGGTCTAAGAAATCCAGATTAAAATTCCCACTAAGAAAATATTTGGCGCCCTAGAAGCTTATCACCTCTGCTCATCTAAATTGTCATCTTGCAGTTAACAGTATGAAGAAAAAGGTTAATAATATTGTACATAGAATAGGTGCAATGATGCTGGGTAGTCTTCCCAGAGCTAGACTCCTCCAAATGTGTTGGATGTTCAATTCATATTATCCCTAGACTACATGGCCTCAGAATGGGGAAAGTTATTTTACAGAATGGCTGTTACAGATGACTAGTTAAAAACATATTTAGTCTTGGAGTTTAAAGATGCTAAATAGATTTTCTGTGTTGGAGAACTTTGAGTTTTGGCTTTTGAAGGTATTTTATAATATATGCTTAAATAAAAAGCACACATACCATCTTTCTATGCAATTATATATCCAAAACGTTAAAAAATGGAAGCAGACACTGCTGATCTTTCTATACAGATTGTCCATATCCTTGATCCAGTTTTTCATACGTATTCAGATGATACTCATGCTTATGGACAAGGGATGAGCAACCTCTGATCCTCTAGATTTTGTTAATGTCCATTCAGCTCCCAGGAGCTCCAGCCAGCATGGCCAATGGTAATGGGTAGGAATCATAGATTTATGAAATCTGAAGAACATGGGCCTCTGCAGGATCTTGCTCCTTTTGGTAAAATGCTACCCCACAAACTCTACTTCTTTTGTATATATACCATTACAATGCACATACGAAAGGAGTGGGCCTTGCATTGCAACAGTGTGGCATTGCTTTTGTCATTCCTCTCTGCCCCCCTTGCTTTCCCTATGGATGTCTCAGCTGAAGATCACTTTAGGGATTTGTCTTTGTTTAGTTGGATATAAAAGTGATACCCTCTGTGGAGATTTTGGGCTGTCATAAAAAAGACCAAACGTTACTTTTATAACTTAAATAAAACGGGGTTTTAAAAAAATGTTCAAACCATTTGATTTTAGGAAAAAAAGACTTTATTCGTTGTATTTATTTCTAACAAAAAGCAGGACTACAAAGAATTGGCTGCACTTACACATTTAGCAGATACTGAAATTCTGCATGCATCTTGGAAAAAAAAAACATTTCTGCCAGTTTAGTTTTACCAAAGCTAAATGTACAATTGTCTGAAATACCATATTTTGTTTTGTTTTTCTTTTGAACAAAGTATACATTTAGGTGCTATAAAGCAATATCAAGTTTTATTCATTTTGTTATCCCTGTTCAGTGTTCCTTGTTCAATCACATAACTCTTTCAATATTCACGAAGTAGATACTCTGAAACCATGGACGTATTATGGTTTTAAAAAAATGAAACAGAAATCTCATTGTATTATAATACAATTCTGAGTACATCTCTGTATTCACAATATTCCGTTGAGTGCAAAGGATTTATTAAGGTAATTGGAAACAGGCTTGTAACTTTAGTCTATCAGCAAAAAACAAACAAAAAATCATCAGAAAACATTCATATGGACTAGGAAGCTTACAACACATATGTTGATCTTCAAAATGCCAAAAAATGTTGATCTTTAAAATGCCACAAGGATGCTTGTTGTTTAAAATCTACATTCAAGGAAATACGAGTTGTGCAAACTTCCTCTCTGCAACAGAGAATTTAAAAACCTGTTTTACCTGAAGCTGGGAATTTGTATTTGGTTGATTCCATCTCTTTCTGATTTAGTGCATAGCTAGGAATACAGTTTATAACTTTCCACACTACAATGATACCACGCATAAAGCATCACATTCTTCTTGAGTTTCAAATCTATTTTTATTTCCACCACAGCCACCATACCAGAACTGGAAGCACATATTCCACTGTTTAGCATAGTGCCACTTCAGAGTGTAGTCTTCACACTCACCATTGTCCATGTCTACTGAGCAAGCATCTAGAAAAATAAAAATGAGATCAATCATAATGAATCTTGTTTCCAGGAAGGAGAAAGTGGGAAGTTTAGAGAGAAGAGTTCATGCTGTAGAAAAATGCATTATACATGCAGTCATAAACTTAGCACCAGGCCTATATAAATAAGTGGCTAGTGATTAGAAGAGGCAGGGGCATAAAAACAATAAAGACTTTTTTAAAAGACTGGAACCTTATATGGACTTTTTGCTGAAAGAAAAAAAGACTGAACTGATGATTTATGGATTTGGGGATTAAAAAGAGTTAAGGAGGGGGAAGAGTAAAATGGCAATTACTCGATAGAAAGAAGGGGAGAAGTCAACATTTTATGTTTTCTTTCTTTTTTCACTTTTTCTTTTTTCTTATTTCCTATCTTTTCCTTCTTTTTATTTTATTTTTTTATACTTTCATTATATTGTTAGATAGATAGATAGATAGATAGATAGATAGATAGATAGATAGATAGATAGATAGATAGAGGCATTTTTGCACCTGCAGTCATTTTGTAGATCCAGTCACCACACCCTGACCTTAACTTACTGCCTGTTTTACTTCTTGGCACCATGGAAAAAAGAGACCATTAAGCCCACAGAAGCCAAATATAGAGGTGTTGGTTTATCTTTGGCTTGGTGTGGGTTACAGCTGTGCAGGCCTTCTCAGCTGCCAAACCCGGTTTTGTTTCCATTCCTCGTTCCACACCTTCATCCTATTTTATTACAGTATTGCTATTTTGCATTCCTCATTTTAATCCAAGGACTTCCAAAGCAGCTTACAGTGAGTAATACAAGGTACAACATAAGAAATAAATGTGACTTTTTAAACAATAACTATAATAATGAAGTTCCACCAAGACAGAATAACGTAGGTCTAATTTTTTTTTTTAATGACTAAATATTATTTCTTAAAATTTGGAACATAAAAGGAAATCTGGGTTAGCACTGGGCAAACCTCTTTTGAAAAAGCATGCTAAAGTTGGTGCACCACCACTGAAAAGGCCCTCACCCTGTCACTACCTCCTCTCTTCTCACGATGGGGTAATCCAGAGGCAATTCTTTAAGGACAACCTCCATTACTGGCAGAGGGAAATATGCTCTGGGCTCAGAAACATCATAGGAATCCGCATACTTGTTTCAAGCCTGGCAAGACATTTTGAGAGAGAGAATCTACATTTTTTCTGTCAGCTCTCGTTCAGGCTGCTGAAAAGATACTGGTTTGAAATGTTATTTCAAAGGAGAAGGGAACTGTGCACAACTTCTCCTGGGTGGTGTTGTATCCCTGTACTTATTTCATCTTGAGGTAGTCGAAGAGTATGTCTGTGTAATGTCCTGTCTTGCATTGCATAGTCATCTTTCCAGTGACATGCAGCTTTCTGGCTTTCCCACACTTTAATTAGGCTTTTTGCCTACCATAAGTTCTATCTCTTTATGAACCAAAATACTTTATATAGTCATTTGTTTGAATTTTAAAAAAATCAAAGCACTGCAGCATAAGGCATTAAAAAATGAATGATATCACCCTAAAAAGCTTTTTGCGTGTTCAAAAATTCCTTCAAATACAAATCAGTAAGAACTTCTTGCCTTATTTGTTCTGTAGCATTTTAAGAGGGAGTTCTTGCCATCTTTGAGGCTAGCAATGATCCCAGCACTTCTCTCAAGTATATGAGTAACTTGTGGACTTCAAGTTGAGACTAGACTCTCCTTAGAGCAATGCCCAACCTAGTGGCTTCCAGATGTAGTTAACTACATCTCCCAGAATTCCTTCCCAGCAAGATTCATGTCTAAGATACCTGGAAATTTCTCCAGTAATAGTCTCAACTGATCTAGACATCATGAGGTTAGGGAAAGGATGCTGTAGACAGTAACAGGGAATGAAAAAGCAAGATTCCATGAGTAAATTCATCCCATATGCTCCTTAACTTCTTCAGTGCCTATTTGCTTAATCATATTTTCTCTTCCAACTAAGATAAACAGAATTGGAACTTCATCACATAACAAGCTAATGAGCATCCCATTCCTCCAACTTTCATGGAATTTTGGTTAGGTCAAGGAAAGAAAAAAAATGGGATTTGGTCAGTGCTAGTCATCTGAAATTAAACACAGTAATCAGAAAAACAGAGTTCTTCTCTTTCCCTCCAAGTCAGCCTACAAAATGCAGCCTATTCCATCATCTGTCTGTACACGGGGGTCCAACTAATATGTTGTCACCCTACATTTTCAGCTCTAATTCTTTTCTGTTCTTTTCTCCAGCAATATATATGTTTGCGTATATTGCTTGATTTCATGATTTTTAAAGGTGTGGATCGTGTATCTCTTGCACTACCTAGTTTGATAGCCTATTCCCCAATATTTAATTAACCATAAACTGGCCTAATTTAGTCAATCAGTTCCAAAATTATATAATTATAATAATATTTCTCTATCGGCCTTCCACTATCTGATGCCTTCCAAATATATGTGACTCTTTGGTCTTCCAGGCTGGATGGAAAAGGAATTATAGTTGACAACAGCAGAAACTGCTTCATAAAATGCACAGAGGCATACAAAGCAATGAAGTATTTCCATTTTTAAAAAATTATGCAGATCAAAAGAATGTCTGCAAAAATTTAAAAACAAACAAATCAAGATGGACTATGTATGCAACTTGAAAAGCACTTGAGTGGAAATACTTGCTGTCTAGCTGACTATTCTCCAGAGATTTCAGATCAGTGTGAAAAGTAAGAATTTCAGTTTAAATGGGCTGTCAAATTTTGTCAGAGCATGATAAGCTCCACTGAAACTATCTTACAGTGTGAAATATGCAAAAGAAAAAAGGGGGGAGTGGGGAGGAATAGGGTACATCCCTTCTATGGCTCAGCTCCTGGTGCCAGAATGAACCCTGACTTCCCGTGATCAGAAAGTACAACAAAGATAATTCTCAATCTACTAAAAATTATAAATGGCTCTTTAGAATTAGGAACTGAGCTGTAGGCTGTTTTCTCAAAAACTTCTCCCATCTTCTTTGACTGCATATATGCCAGGCATTGCACCTTGAATATAATCCATGAGATCTCACTGATCCACATCATGTAATGAAAGACATCAATATTTCTACATGTTTAGGGAGTGTTGATGAAATCACCCAGTTGGCAATTTTCAACATCCCTATTTATATAATGTGTACATACATCCACATCTACATACCCTTTGCTCTTTGTATTTTCTCAAAATGTTCTTCAGTCTCTGTCCCTTTCCCATTTTGAACACTGATGCTGCTGAGGTATTTAGTTTCCATTTGATCATACTGTTCTTCTATTGGTCTTTGGGTGGTCTCTAAAATTTTGTATTGTCTGTTTTTCCTGGATAATTCTAAGGGTTGCAATAAATCACTGTGTTTCAAATCAGGGAACATAATCCTATAAAGAGAAAAGGGAGAAAGGAATAATGCTTAAGATACAAGATACTGAAAATTATGCCCAAGAATTCCTTAATTCAAATTGTTATATTGTTATCCAACTTAGGCCTTTCTGATCATCTAAAGCCAATGGCAATTATTATCCATTACTTCTCATGAAGAAGAACTGGTTTTTGTACCTGTCAGTCATCCCTACAACTTGCTGATAGGTGTCTCCTCGATCCAGCTTTTCACATTCTTCCTGCAGCTTTACAGGATAATAATTCAGTTCCTCTGGGGGGGAGGGGAGAGAGAGGAAAAGAAATAATACAAAAACACTGTTCAGAGCTGAACGCTACAATAAATCACTTATTCACAAAAGGAAAGGAACAGGTTGCATTTAAACAAATGTCTGCATGTTCATATTCTATGATTTGAGAAGATCTGGTAGTGAGTCATGCTATGCATCCCTCTGTCACATGCATATACACCCCATTAGATGTTTGCACATAGGTTCTGGTAAGAGGTTGCTGACATAAAGACAGAATGATGACTTATTTTGAAACTCTGGCTTAATGTCAGTTGGCAAAACAGAATGTGATTACATCCAAGCTTATTTTCCTGGTTTGCCACTGTAAGCATCTCTAACAAGCCATGTAGATGTCGGAATGTCAAATGCATAATGAGATTTTTGAGTAAATGAACTAATTTACTTCATCACATCATAACATCTAATCCAAGTGTGTAAGTTACATTATTGTGATAATGATGTCATTGTCATGGTCATGATAACACATGTCATTTATACCCACACAAACACCCAACTGCCTATCCCCTGAATTTGTCATTTCACTTGAAGCAGAGTTCCCTATTTGGGACATAATGAAGAACTGGCTTAATGCATCAGTTGAAAAGTTTCCACCAGAGAATACTGAGCAAAGGTGATGGTAACAAAAATAATTAATTTTTGCTGCTATCATGTCCAAAGAACAGATCATTAAATGGATTCCAGCTGCTGTTTTTCTGGACATGTTCCAAATTTATTGCCAGCATCACTCTAGCTGCTCTCTGGCTCACTTTCTACTGTAAGAAAATTGAAATGTTAAGAAAATCAGTCTCACTGTATTCAGTTTAATGGAGCTTACATCCAGATAGCTAGATACTGGAGTCTAGAATTCTTGAGAATAAGCTACATTGAATTAACTCACTTATTTTTGAAGAAAGAAATCAAAGATTGTTTTGTGAGTATCTATCCAGCAGATGTATAAAACAATCTATCTGCTAGATAGATACTCACAACACAATCCTTGATTTTTTTCTTCAAGGAGATCCATGGGGCATGTAGAATGAGAGATAAACAATCCCTGCCCAGCAACTTTCAACAATTCCATAAAAAGATTTAAAGTATATCTCATACCACTTACTTTTCAAAAGATTTAAGAAGGCCCGGCTAAACCTCAGGGCATATGGCAATTCAAGTTTATCAACTCTGCCCAGCTGTAATAGGTGCTGTTCCACTGGAACACTGGAGAGTTCAGTCATTTCTGTATCATCAGGTTCACTGCCAAGGGCCAAAGTGAACATGGTGAATCCTTGGCATTTGGCTTCCAATGACATTTTTTTAAGTTTCTCTCTGTCCCAGGAGCTTGTCTTACTTCCAAGTATTGTAAAAATGACCCTGTGTTTTCTTGGTCTCTGGGCTTCCAAAAACACATTATTAATGGTCCACTCTAGAGCATGACCCAAAGCTGATGGACCTTCCAGTTGGTGAAGAGAATCCTGAATATGCATTTTCATCAGATTTTTAGTGTTGTATGTAGTCAAGTCAAACTCTACAGTTACTGGGCTTGATAATCCAGTCTCTCTGAAATTTCGTGGAGCCTGTTGCACCAGGGCAACCCTTGCCCCTCTGTCTGACTCAACTGGCAGGGAAGCAATAGCAAAATAATCCAACATATTGCTCACAAATTCCTTCATTGTTTCAAACTCCTCATTGCTGACATCTCGAGAGCCATCCATGATGTAAGCTATATCCATGTTTATATTAATAGGGGGAGGATCCACTACTTCACATTGTGGAACAGGGTTACACTGATCTGTGGAAGAAGCACAAAGTAGTAACTACATCCATGGAGTGACTGAAAGGCTGAATGTACAAAGATAATATTTTGCTTGGCTTCTCTTTTACAAATGTTTCTTAACAAATGAATTTTAAATTGCCCACACCCAGAGACACGCACAAGATATGCTCTGGCTGTGAACACTGGGAATTACAGCATTAATAAATTTGAAGAATACCTAGTTTAAGAAGGTATTTTAGGGTAGCCCTGATTAGAACTTGATGCATATTTTAAAAATTATCAAGTGTCATCTTTCTGTGTGAGGTAATCATTCATCAATTTTTCCTCTTTTTTCTTATATGCTGAGACTATTCTGCACATTTATTGGATGAATGTATTCACTTCATATGATTAAGAAACCTAATTGATTGATCAGTTCAACATTATACTACAAACTAGCAGCCAGGGGCATCCATGGGGAGTGGTGGTAGGGGCTCAAAAAGTCCCAATGGTGCCTGTACAATTGAAATTCTGTCCCTTTTTCATTTGTGTTATGTGCACAACACGTGTAAAAAGGGGGAAGGGCTCCAACCACACGATTGAGGCTGTCATCTTATTTTTTTTTTTACTCCTGTTGCTGATACCTCTGCTAATAGCAAGGGACATAATAAATATCAAAGTACTGTATAAAATAAAAGTAAAACAAGAGAACAAACAAAAACAATATTCTAAAAAAAAATAAAAGCATATCCAAATTGCACAAAAAATATTAATTATAAACCATCCTATTTAACTTAGCCATTATCTTCTGCTCATAATTAACTATTTATAATATTTCTTAGAAAATATTTTAACCAATGTATAAAATCAAACAATGAATTATGATCAACAGATAGAATACCTTCTGTACACAATAAATGTGGATTACACTAAGGTTATGGTAACCTTTCAATCCCAAACCCTCCACATATATTGGATTACAATTCCCATTTTTTCCTATTGGCATAGTTCCCCAGAAGGTGGTAATTTTGACCAGTAAGTAAACTGGGCAACTTATTAGTACTAGATATCTTGGTTTCTATGTTTCCAGATGAGTTTATAGTATCAGATTATTCAAAGTCCATCTTAGTCATAGGTATCTGTGGGGTGGGCAAGAGGGGGAAAATGACTCAAATTGTGTGACTTATGTACTTATATCTGATGTCAGGATGCAGATATAAAAGGCCAGGGGTTTCACTGTAACATTGTAACATCCATTCTACCATTTTTTCATCATCACAGTTTGTACCAGATACCCATGATCTTAACATGACATCTCCTTTTCATACTTTTACCAGAGAATATCTGATGCTTGCTAGACACATATATTGATAGATAAGGGACGTTTGAGATCTGAAATTAAAAGACTTAGCATGTGCATGGGTGTGTTTATAAGACACCCAGAGAAAATAGTGCATATATAACCACTTTAAGAAGTGAGAGAATCAGTTAGCTCACCATAGCAGAGAGAACAAAGGGAAACATAATCCAACCTCTCTTCCTCTCTGGATTCCCAAACAAACAACTTAAATCGACCAGTATCATCTGTCTAATTAAATGAGAAGACAACACAGGAAGAAATGCACTGAAAATATTTTCTGAACTGTTAGGTATTTTATATTTATATTAACATATTTACATACCTAGGAAGGACTTTCAAGGTTCTGTTAAATCCTGTTACTGGGAGAATATCAAAATACTAGAATCAAAGGAAAATCCCAGTCTGTTTTATAGCAGGAAAGCAAATAATGTTAAGACTATCTTTATGCCATATTTCAGGAGGTGGATTAGAAATCAGAAATATTCGGCTGGTGCTAACGGCTTCTTTTTTATCCTTATATCTTAACTTGATACTCTGGAGGTAAAGGGGATGCCCATCTTTCTACAGACTTTCCCTAATGAACATTTTTTAAATTATTATTTATCAGGAAATTGCACTGCAAATTCTACATTTCAAATGAGAAGCTTCAATTGTGCTTTGGTTCAAGATAAAGAATCCCGTAAGTTCAGCTTCAAATGTGAATTAATAGTGTCCTCATCCTTGCTTGGAGCTAACTTAGTTGCTGGGGGAAGGGTGTGGTTTCCCTCCATATCTAAAACCATCTCATGTCTCTTCCCCACTCCATTGCAGAATGTCCCAATTTGGAACCCAGGTTAGATCCCAGTGGTGAGAATAATGGTAGTATGGCCACTGCTGGGATCTTGGTAGTGGAGGAAAAAAATCCACAAAGACACCCCCACCTTCCTCTGTAGAATTCCGTCCAGCAGACAGGAACATATACTATATCCTAATTCACCCCTAATCTTAATTTAAATGAATTAATCTAGATCCATTTTCATGTTTTCACAGATACCTTATGGTTCCCACTTTTGAAAAGGAAAGAGCAGATTCACTCAGTCCTATAGAAAAATAAAAAGATCGTATTCATGGAGAACATGATCAAAGGCAAATCAAGGTCACGCCAGGCATTATTCATAGGGGGAAAAATCATGCCTTGCTAATACCCAAACAAAAATATTCCCTTCAGAGTTGGCTGGATGTCTTTCAACATGACCTACTATTTTAAAGCCAGTTCAAATGCAACTAATTATTTCCTTTACTGCTCTCAAGTTTACAACTTCTGAAACTAAACCAAGAGGATTAAAAAACTGGCCATAAATCACAGTAAAATTCAAGATTCTGTAAAAATCATTATTCCTTTGGAATGGGAGTCTAGCATGCAACTTCCCTCTCTAAGATGCATGTTACAACAATTAAAATACAAGGGTAATCCTGGATATAACTGCTATTTTCTGCTATCCTCAGCATGCACTAGTTATTGCACTGAATCTGGCATGTTTCTGAACAACACAAAAGTTCTTTGTATTTAGAGATAAAGAAAAAAAAATTCAGGTCAAGCACATTTTTACAAAAAAATTTCTAAGGTTGAAAGAGATTTATCTTCTTACTGATTTGCCCAAATCTTATAATCAGCAGGGGTGAGTTTTTGTTTCAGAGTCTTTCTTTTAGTTACAAACACAAATGACCAAGTGGCAGTGAATTAAGCTTTGCAATTCCCAATTATCTATTTGAAATAAGAACCTACACAACACAGACGAAGTTTAACAATCCACTGTCCCAACATATAGCTATAGTTTAAGTAATCTGCAAGGACTGGAGATTTGCTTTCAAAACACAAAATAGCTATTTAACCCTTGGTTGTCCTCCCAAACTCCCCTTGCATTCAGACAGCATGCCCAACAGTCCAAGATGATGGAAATTTCAGCTCAAGGAAGGCCACTGTTCTCCACCCCTGCTTTAATTTTTTTTCCAGGAGAAGCCACATTGCACTTTTGCGTTTCTCAGAGCAAGTGGCAAGAGGCTGAAGTTTTAATACATAAATAAATTCAAAATGTGATTGTCTTCGGATTTCTATTAGGATTTTGCTGCTGAAATTCAACCCCCACATTTGACATTAAAATTCACACATAAAATGTGAATTTGCCTATATGATTTCCATCACCCAAAATGATATTTGGATTAATTCACTGTGAGTGAGGAACAATCTGCAGCAATATGGTTGTCCTGATTTAATTCCATTTAACCTTTCTCTGTGGTCACAGGTTTCCTGCAGGAAGTAAATCTGGGCTCAGGTAAGTGATAGTGGGCTCTTCCTGCTACTTGACACTTGGGAGGAGAGAGAGAGAGAAGTTAGGTTTCAGAAACAAGATATGGGGTGTCAGAGAATGAATGAGGTTCTCACCCACTTTGGGCTCTGGACTACACTGTTTCAGCTGTCCACTCTGGGAAATTTATGATTGTAATTACAACAAAAGATATTAAAAATCATAAGTGTGTCAAATGTTGATGGTGGTTAATACAACATTCTTGCACATCAAGAAAATATTTCTTGAGAGCCAACCCACCAGGAGAAAATATTTTCTAAAAACAAACATTTGGAGAATGTTTCTAGAGAATATAGAAGAGTCAGAATTCAGTTATAAGTCTAGAACAGGGATGAACAAATTATTAAAGGAGGAGTTTCAGAAAAGATTACTCAGTCCTGGGAAAGAGGAAAGCATGAGAAAGAAACTCCAAATAACCCACCTTGATTTTGTTTGGCATAAAATGTAGTACAGAGAAACTTTAATCAGTTTTCAAGATTCTGCTACTGTGCAACAATAAAGAGCATTCCTTAACCCCCTGTATTCCTGACCTTCCCTATCTTGAAGGGCTGAAAGCATGGCAGCCATGATGGTAGAACAGTGTTTTCTGGCTCTCAACCCCTTCACCTCATGAAAATAGGGAAACACAAGCAGCTTCTTCTGGGAGGATCTCCTCAGAAGGGTTGACTCTTTAAAGTCTATTTAATTAATTATATGTTAACTCTGTCTCATATCCTGATTATTTATTTATTTATTTATTTATTTACTTATTTATATTTCGAATTTGTTACCGCCCATCTTACTGCAGAGCAACTCTAGTATCTAGTATTTGCCTATCCTGGTAATTATTACCCTTTACAATGTGATGGAAACCTATGTTGCATACAGTATGTTTATCAAGTAGTAAATTTATTTCTAGGATATACATGTCTATTCATATGTTTGAGTGTTCTTTCATTCTAAACAACAAATATCCCAGTGCTCTGAACCCTGGGCCCACTGATATCTGCTTGGCTTTGTTCTCCTCCGGTGCAGAGATTATCTTCACCCTAGCATTCTAGTCTATTATGCCCAAAACTTTTCTGTCTTTGATGAAAGAATGATAGGGATGGACAACTCTTGGTTTGAAGGTCTCAGGCAGTTCTCCCAATACCTCTTTTGCTCCCAAAACAGCACCCCTAGACAATCTCAACAAAACACAGTGGTAAAATTGGTAATTTGGGCTGGCATAGTTTTTCCCAGAAGCTTATAGCGCCCACTTTGTCCGATAGCCCCCCAGACCTCCAAACAATTAGGCTTTTTTTTTTTCAAAATAAGGCCCAATATTGGCCCTGTATGCCTCAGCGTGGTTTAAGAAATTCATTTTGTGTCTTGAAACTCCAAAAGCCTCCCCCCAAATAAAAAAGAGAAGTCTGATAAAATATGTTGGTCACATCCACTCCTATGACATCATCAGATTGCTACTAACACCTCTGTGGCCACACTTCCTCATCAACCTGCCAGTTATTTTTTTTCTGACAATGGCCTGCTTACCAAAAATGCTTCTCTGACATTTGGTATTTCACTTAAAGCAATGACTGCCGGGGTAATATCTAAAGCGCTGAATTCCAGCACAGCTGTATTGATGGAAGTGGCATCTTGTGATGGGCCAGCAGTAAGGAATACAGCGACTTTTTTAATGAGGGCCCCTTGACGATAACGTTTAAAAGCATTCCTGGCAACAAAGCGCATGACCCTTCCGATATTCCGTTGGCCTGAAGATCTCTCCAAAGGAATTCTCTGTACTGCCTCCATAAGGAGATCTTCTCTCTGGAAGTCCGAGAACCGGATGAGGTACTTTACATTGGTGTTGTATGAAAGCACTGACACCCGAGCACCAGTTGGGCAATTGCTTTTGCTAATCTGCAAACTCTTCAGCAAAGACTTCATAATGTCTTTCATCCTTTCAAAGGAAACTGGAGTAACATCTTCAGACATGTCAAGAGCAAACACCACTTCAGTTGGGTAAACTGGACACTTGCTCATGCCTTTAATAAAAGTAAAAATGTATCAGAATGTTTCCAGGTCTTAGAGAGCGCAACTTTTTTTCTTAAATAGGATCTAGTTCAAGTGACTTACCTGTACAGCAAGCTAGATGGGATAAAAGAAAGTTGTTTTAATTCAAATTGTTATATCTGATTTGTCCTCATCTATAGAACACCATCAATAAACACAACACAGAATCTGCTCTGAACATGCACTTTGTTTCAATATCCAATGGAAAATTGGCTTCTGGCTTTGGATAAAGCGCAGGAGTAGCATTAGCAGGAAAAAGTGATATCACAACAGTAGCGTGCCTTTTTTTAAGCCAAAGAGTAAAGCGTTCAAATTTAACTGAGCCATGAAATAGCTCTGAAAATATTGCTACTGTTTTGTTTCATTTATAAAATATTATTCTAATTTAGGAGAATGAGCACAGTTTGGGAATCAAATTTAATTCAAAAAGCTAACATTGGTTCTTTTAAAACAGAAAATTGTATTTGTAAAGGTTTATACTTTCCTTCCTTTTTATTCCATTGTGGCAATTCCCATGCATATACGTATCTACTATAACTAATGTGTAATTATCTTTTTGTAATATCATCAATGACTTATTTCATTGTTTTGATGCTATAGTTCTTCCTCCTTTGCAAGTAAACTCAAAGAATATGCTTTCTTCTAAATCTGTATGGCTGGGGATTAAATAACTTAATACAATCAAAGTGCGCTAAAGTAAAATCAGTAGCTTTTGAAGACCATCCATAAGCTTCTTAAACCTGATAGTAGTTGCAATAGTAGCAGTAGTAGATAGTAACCTGAAGTTGCTACTTACGACAGTTTCCTCTTGTAAGGTTCACAAGTTCACAAGGCTGCAGACAACAGGGAAAACAGTATGATTAATAGCATATCTGCTCAGAAACCTACAGATTTACTCTGGTGTAAATGGATATAGGAAGCAGCCTATAGGTCTTGTTATTTTCTTCTTAGCTTTGAAATCGGCTAGAATTAGATAAGGTTCCAATGTTTTTATTTAAAATGTTTATTAGTATTTTTTATAATTCAAATTAATTTTGTATACAGACTGACCAGTAGTTAGCAATGTGAAAGCCAACAACGCATACCGTCATAGCAGTTATGCCTTTTGGACCTTTTGGACCCTGGAGAAAAAAAAAAGATATTTATAAAATCACACTAGATAGAGAGACAGACAGACAAGAAGCAATATGAGATATTCTCAAACCAATACTTTTTCAGACCTAACAGTACGTTGTGCTTGTATCCTCTTTCCATTTTCTATGGTATTATTTAACATAGGGAAAACACAGACTTGGATTTTGTCTGATATATTCTTTTATACACTTGTGCATCTCATTTTCTTATTATTAGATTGAAATCCCATTAATTCTGGCAAATGTCTGAAGGATCTGTTTGTCTTGCTGTTACCACTACACCTTTTCTGATTTAGAAATTATTTTTTCTCTTTTATTTCTTTATATCTCTGAGGTAACATGATTTGGTGGAACATCCGGAAGATATAAGAAGTACAGTCATTTTGTTAAATTTAAGCAAAGAAACATATTCTGTTTAAATAACTTAAAATGGGTTAAGGGTTCACGTAATATTACAATTTATCAATAGTCTCTCAAATGTTGCTTTCCATGGCACCACCTGGATTCATACCTCTATCTTTTGGACAGATGAAGGTTTTCCCAGCCTAGAACTCTGAGCATCCCTTAGACCTGCCTTTCCACCCACACCTCCCAAATCTCTCCCTCTCAGTTCCTTCCTCCTTCTGGAATACAAACTCGGAGATTTCCTGCACACCCATGCTTTGATTGGCAGTTCCATCACCCAATCATCACATATACCCATGTGTGCAATCATGTGCAGTAACATTCTCCTTATCATTTAAGTAACAAGTTGCAATCAACAACTTCCCCCAAATGTGCAAACTTGTCTCAAAGGAATTTGTTGCTGCATGAAAATCGTTTACTGCTGTCCAATGTTTTTAGTTCAGAGGTGAAAAATCTGTGGTCTTCCAGATGTTGCTGCCCCACAACTTTCAGTAGCCCCAGTCAGCATAACTAATTGTGAGAGCTCAGCAACATCTGAAAGACACGTTCCCAACCTTGTTTTAGAAATTATTCAAGATTATTCTTTTCCTCCCCTCAAAAAATATTTCAAATAAATTGGAGAATAATTTTAAATGCATGTGGAATCAGCTAATCTTGAACTATCCTCAGTTTAACTTTCTGCTTTAGTTGCATACACATTGTGCCACTGATGAAACAAACTTGCTTAACTTGATTTGTTTATACATGTTTGATCAGCACTTGCTTGGATTGCTGCAATGTGCTCCACGTTGGACTGCCCTTAAAGACTATTCAGAAACTTCAGTTGGTCCAAAATGCAGTTGCTCATACACTGGGAAATCAGAGTCACTATAGTCACATAACACCTGTTTTACAGTCATTGTACTGGTTACTAATAGGTTTCTGGGTACAATTCAAAGTGCTGACTTTGATTTATAAAGCCCTATATGGTTTAGCATATAGATCTTTGCAGGACCACCTTCTCCACATACAGCCTGATGGATCTAGTATGTACATCTCATCATCTTTTCAGGCCTCTGAGATGCAGGGGGCAAGGACCTGCAGACAATGTTTTTTAGTTGCAGACCCCATATTATGGAATAGCTTTTCTCTCAAAATTACGTTAACATCCCCACTGTTGACCTTCTAGAAACTACTTAAGACCAAGCTTTCCAGAGGGCATTTGGGAAAGAAGTTGTCATCACTGCAATAATTTGCATTTCATCTACATTTTTGTTTATTATTATTATTATTATTATTATTATTATTATTATTATTATTATTTTAAGCTGGTTTTATGTTTGATAATGTTTCATATTGTATGATATAAACTGGTAGGAGTTGTTTTGGAGTCTAGTGGTATAGAAAATCAATCAATAAAATAAAAGATTTAATTTGGTAATGTACTTTGAGCTATGCAGAGTTTCAGACACTAATATTAGGTTAACATTTATATTCACATTACCATTTTTCCAGGTGGCCCTTGACTGCCGGGGTCACCGTTTGTCCCTGGTGTTCCGTCCCTGCCCTTAAACAAATACAAAGAGCTCATTAACCCTCCAATGGCAAGGCAACTTGGCTTAATTTTAATTAAAGAAATTACATAAATGCTATTTATCAGTTATACATTAAAACAACTGGATCGTTTAAAATAGCTGACTCTAGCAGTGCTTTTGGCTAATCTAATATGATAATCAAATAATGATTAAGTTAGATACAGCCATGGCAACACATGCCTTACATATATATTTTTTGAATTGTCGCAATGAGTTCTACTTGGGAATACCTTTGAAGAGAATTGGAGTAGAAACTGCAATTGTTCCAAAATACAGCAGCAAGAATGCTGGTAGGGGTTCACATGCAGGACCATGTTATGATATGTTACTATTATGCATATTCTACAATGGCAGAGTTATCATGTTGATTATTACTAGTGTTGCAATCATCTATAAAATCCTGAAGGGTTTAGGTCTGAGTTATTTTAAGGACAGCTTCCTCCTATATTGACCTGCCCTTATTCTAAGCTCTAAACCCAAACTAATGGAAACCTCCAGCTGATCTGAATAAGAACAGACCTTTTCAATGGTCTAATGCATCTAATTTGTGAAACTCCTTAATATGCTAGGTTGCTATTGACTTTAATAGCCTCTTGCCCTTTGGTGAAGACTTTATTGAGGAAGGCATTTGTCTCATTAGAAATGGAAATTTGTATTTGATGCTTTATTTCAGCTGCTGTATCTGCTTGCTTTTATATATAAACTCTTCTTTCCTTTAATTCTAATTGTAAGTGTGGTAGCACCTCCAAGACTAACCAATTTTATTGGGGCATATGTCTTCATGAGATACTGCTCATGTAAATGCTACCAGATACCTTGTGTACTTTGTTGCCAGAGACTAACATGGCTCTTCCCCTCATCTGTACATGATAAGTAGGACTGATTGAAAATATTGTTCTATGTGGGATAAAAGCACTGAAAGGAAGGAATTTATATACTCTTTCATCTGAAGAGAAATCTACATAATTGTTCCCTCCAAAAAATCCCTCAGAGTCCCTCCACTTTGCTCATTCAGTTTCAACAAGATTGCAATCATCTTTGATTCCCATGGATAAAAGCAACACCTCTATTCCCCGATGTAATGGTATGTGGGAATGACCTTGGGAGACAGGAGGAAGAGCCACAGACTAGGCAGTGGTCAGATAAGAGGCAGCTGAGTCCACAGAAGGAATAGGGCCATGACATACATCTCAGAATGGACCCTCCCTAGTTTCTTGGACTATAAAGGCAAAGAGGGAGAGATGTACTTTCAGACTTGCAAGATTCTGTTAATGTAACTTTACAATAAAGTTAGGGCTAATAGTTCTGGGTGTGCTTCTTGCTTGGACTATCTCACAAGGCTGACACACATAATGTTGACTAAGATCCCATACCTCTATTTCTGTCTCCAATACCTTATCTTGTGCTTGATATCAAAGGGAGAAAAAACTCTATTTTCACCCCTGGAGCGGTACAGCCAACTTACCCAACTCAAAATTAATAGAAAGTTTAAAATTTTTAAAAATGGAAAAGAAGGAATATTCATTTATGATAAAAAATAATTTCTGATTCAACAGTCGACTTAAAGAGATATTTCCTAGTGCTCTTTTCTTAGTCTGCTATGCATGTAGTCCCCAGTTTAAAAATGAGATCCATTCCCAGGATCTGTCCTTAAGTCGAATTTGTATGTGAGCCAGAACAGTATTATTGTATAATATTGTATAAGTAGTATTGTGTAATGAGCTCGAATAATTGTGTATTTAACTAGAATTTTGCTACAATAGGCTCTGTTCTTAACTATGGGTTGTCTGTATCCCGGGTGTTCCTACATATAAGGAAAAAGAAAGTAAGAATACAACAATGTTAATGGCCATTAGAATCTTCCATCTCCACAAAGAGAAGCAGCAGTGAACATGGATTACCATTTGTCCTTGAATTCCTTTGGCACCTTTGTTGGCAGGACTGCCTGGATCTCCAGCTTCTCCCTGCAAAGGAAGCAGAAGCAGAGCTTTGCAACCAGGGGCCGAGTGTGAAATGATGTGAGAGCTTCAGATTTAGCGGGTCTGTTTTTAATTTCTCAAAATGAAGCTGTAAGGGATCCCAGTGCAGATGTTTAACCTACAACCTTAGAGTTATATGATTAATATTAAAAGGAGGAGAAAATATAGACAGAACAGAGACTGGACAAAGGTACCTAGTGCTGTAGCCCCAACCCAAAGTCTAAAAATTAACCACCACATTGGCTCTTGTATACCTGTCGTCCAGGGTTTCCAGGAGATCCAGTCAATCCCTGATATTAGTAAAACAGAAAGACAATGTTGGTCTTCAAGCTGCTTATTCACAATATATAAGAAATCAATGGACATTCTTCTTTTTAATTACTCTTTAATTAAATACATGTGTAGCACCAGCATTGCTTTACTCAAGAGCCACCTTGAAAAGCCAAATCCATAACTCAATAATAGCTTATACCCTTTCTTTGATTCAACAGCTGTCTATCACAAACCAGATCTACCTATCCCAAATACGTTTTCCTACAACGCATCTGATTTAAGACTTACTACAAGCCATATATCCAGGATAAAGGAATAGACAGAATACATCATTTACTTAGGATTGTTTATTTGCTGGCATACTAAAGAATTATTCAGGTTTCATCTCCCACAGAATGTTAACCACATAAAGGAAAACAGCATTTACTCCTGCCATTGCATCCCTATTTGTCACTATCCCTCTCTACCTATGTGTCTGGAAAGGTCTGAAAAAAGAAGTTGGTTTTAAATATGTAGGTCCTCCACAGGGTTTAAAACTCTACACAAGCAGGACTCAATATCATGGAGGAGCCCATATGTGAGGTGCTGGTTTACCCCTTCAGACTTTTCCTGCACGGAAGACATGGAACAGAATCAGAGCTTAACCACTGTTTTCCTTCAAGTGAATAAGATTTCATGGAAAATACTGTCCAAATAGGTCTCCAGCTATTAAGATGCAGGATATACATATTTCTGTGCAATTCTGTACATGTTAGCATAACAAAAGTGTTACAGGGACATTACTCTGACAAGGTAGAAGAGTGAAGACAGAGCAGATCGACAAAATAGTTCTGCTGTAAGGACCATTAAAAAGCAAACCATAGAACAGTTGGCATGTCTTCTTCTGAAGTAGTAGTTCATGTAAAGCCCATAGAGTCTATCCATCTTGTTAAAGCATTCTTTCAGTCTTTCAAGAAGAAGGAATTTCTAATGAAAGAATCTTTATATATTTCCTGATGTATATTTTGGATGATCGCAGGACTCTATAACGCTCTCTATGATGTTGGAAAGATTGCCTCAGTTTCTTCCAAACACAATCTATCTTCTCTTTCAGTTATAAGTACCATAATAACTTAGAATTGTTAATATTTCCTCCCCACCCCACTTTATGGTATGCTAAAATTGTTTGCTTTTGACATGGAAAACCCTGACGATCAAAATCATAGTTTATTCTAATAAATGTTGGATAACGTGTGGGGCTCAAGGAGGGGTAACCAACCCTGGGGATAGTTAGCACCCTGAAGATGATCCCAGAGGTCAATAATTTATTTATACCCGCTATTCTTTGGATTATATTATTTATTTTTGATTACTGTTTTTATTGTATTTTAATTGGTTTTTATTCTGATTTTATTGTAAATTGCCCAGAATCACTCGTTGAGTGAGATGGGCGGTAACTAAATTTGAAATATAACTAACTAACTAAATAAATTTAGCATTTTAATGTTATTGGGGAATTGAGCTGATTTTCATGACTACTCCAACCAAAATACATAGAATTTTCAACTTAGTCCACAGCTGATGAACTAAACTTTATTGCTTTCCCTTGCCAGCCATGGTGTGGTTTAGATGCACAGATCTGTTCTTTTCATAGCCGATTGTGGTATTTGCAAGCATGGAATGAGACCTGTGTTTGCAGCAAATGAAAACAGCCATTTTCTCCATACACAATCAGCTAATGTATTATATTGATTACTTATTATCAAAGAATTAAATCCCCATAACCCACCTGAAACACAAACACTAGGAACGTCTAAGCAGGTCCCATAGAAATAGAAGGGCTTTTAGTAGGAAGACTCCAATTTATTTTTGTTGAGGGTTCCAAAAGAAGCATTCTCAAACAATTATAGCCTTAATGGTTTGGATTTGTTTGATTTATTTATTTTACAACATTTCCATACTGCCCTGATCAATTGATTCTGGGCAATGAACAAGAAATAGCCTTGCCACAAAAGAGGTTATCCAGAAAGCCCAAAATAAGATTCTCACCTTTGTGCCTTTTCTTCCTGATAGGCCATAGCCATTCTTACCATCAAATCCCTATAAAATATGGGGGGGGGGGGAAGTAAATGGCTAGTTAATGTTAAGATATTCTATTAGGGTGAGCCCTAACATTGGACAAAATGAGACAACATTTTTAAGCAGCTAATTCTGGGTGACAAGAAAAGATAGGAAGTTAATGTTTCTTTCAGTTATTACTCTGTTTGTGACTGCCAGACATAGAGATCCTTCTGGATTTTTTGCCTGAGGTGCCAAAATAGCTTAACAAACCTAAAATAACATGTATGTTAAACAAGGAGGGAGGATTCTGCTTTATCTCAAGCAGCCAAATGCACTGGATCAGCACACCAAGTGACCTTGGAGGACTGACATTTCAAGAAGATTGTGGAACTAAAAATGCACTGATTATAATAGCAAGATATGTGAGGAATAACTGGGTATATTTTAGATGAAACAACTGAAACTATGAAAAAAGATAAAGTCTGAAAATGCCATATTTCTCCCCTTCCCTTAGAATACTACAGGACAAATTGCTTGTTCTAAAACAGGTAGTTCTTGTTTAGCAACTGTCTTGTTTAGCGACTGTTTGCATTACAACAATGATGAAAAAGTAATTTTATGACCAGTCCTCACATTTACGACCTTCTCAGGTCTGTAAAGCAAAGGAAAGCTGAAGTAAGATCATAAGTACAGTGGCGGTTTAACTTAGCAACCACTTCACTTAAAGAACGAGTTGCCAGTCTCAGTTGTGGTCACTAAACAAGGACTACCTGTATTTAGAAAGCTACAGTGCCATAGCCATGCTATCTTCACTGATTTTTCATAGGTTTTACAGATAGTGGTAAAAGAGAACAGTTGTCTATCTGAAACCTGAATTCTGAAAGTTACATTTATGTACTCATTTGTTTCAATCTGGAACTTTTATATTGTTCAGTTTTCATTTAGGAAGTATGGTGACAAAACTGAAAGAGTTTAATTTAGATGCCCTGCTATTACCAGAATTCAAATATTCCAACCCCAGTAACCAGGTCTTCTTTCTGAATCTTGAGCTTTGCATCAAGTTAAAAATCTAGACTCATTGTGAACTAGGCACTGAAGATGTTATCTAGCCAGGTAATGAAACATTTGCAAGAAAAGAACCAAGCTCAGAGAACCCCAAAGACTCCTCATTGTGAACTTGACGAATTCAGTCTTTTAAAAAATAAGCTATTTCATAAAATAGTTTAGAGGACAACTACATGTGCTACCGGGAGTGTCCACATATAAGGGGGTCAAAAAAGTCAAGATGGCAGCCACAACCATGTGATTAAAGCTCTGCCCTTTTTTATGTCCCTCACAATACACTTCAAAAGAGGCAAGGATTCAATTACATGGTGGTGGCTGCCATCTTGAATGTTTTGACTCCCTGCTGACACCCTTGTCTGAAATAAATTTCCTTAATCCTGAGATGAAACTCTTCCAAACAATGAAAATGTCATGAACTTGAGATAAAAGATGAATGGACCGTCAACCAAAGCAACCAGCAAAAATAGAGAGGTTCAGAAGCAGCCAGGGAAAACTCACAGGAAAGCCTCTTGGTCCGCGTTGCCCCTTTTGCCCTTTTGCTCCAGGATCACCATGTTCGCCCTTTTGTGGAATGAAAGAGACATTAGCCATTCAACAGCTGAAGCTACTGCCCATCAGCTATAATTATCTCACTGCAGTTTCCTTGCTCCCACCAACGCAAGAAACATGGGTCTGACTGTACCACTTCAGACTCCAGGGAGGGCTTCGTGTAATGAAATGGCAACATCATGCAAAATATTGTCCTTCTCGTAGAAAGCTAGATGCCAGGGAGCAGGGTCCTGACCCACTGTTCTGTCTAAGAAGTTACTAGTTATGGTAAATTCTGACAACTGTATGCACAAAAAGTTTAGGTAGAACAGAATTATATTAATACCCCCTCCTAGCACTATGCCATAAAAATCTCACACCTGAGGCAGAAGGACATATTTCCCTGAGAAATCTGTGGGATTTTTCTGAATGGAAGAAAAGGCAAAAGGCAAGTACATCGATACAAAATGCCTGTTTTTTCAAAGTCAAAAGATTTGCTGCTGCTTTTTCCAGAAGAAAAGTTCAGTGAAGCCACCCCAACCAAAGGCTCTCCAGATGAGCTGGATTTGCACTCCAATGATCCTCACCCAATATATGAGAATTGGGGGTGATGGTTAAGTAGTGGAGTATATTGGAGTATGACTTAGAGAGACCAAGACTGAAGTCCTTGCTCAGACCAGGAAGTTTTGATGAGTGACTTTGGGCTACCTCTCCACTTGACTTACCTCACAAATGTACTTGTTATGGGAAAAATTAAAAGAGGGAGTTTTATGTATGCTGCTTGAACTCCTGGAGGAAATGTGAGATATAAATCAAAGAAATAAAGAAATAACCACTTGCTGGTTAAGTGGGTGTACAGTTGAATAATCAAAGCTGGTTAAGTGACTCTATGGTAAATGTACAAACCCTGAAGGGGGAACAAAGAATAGTCATTTTTGCTAAGCTTGTGAAACTCTACCTTCCTTATATTTATTTAATATGGTTTTTATCCTAGCTTTCCACCTTTCTGCCTTTCCACCACCATTTTTTGCTATGCTTGTAAAACTCTACCTTCCTTATATTTGTTTAATATGTTTAATAGGGTTTTTATCTCACCTTTCCACTCTAACTGTGGATTATTGGAAGTGAGTCCCAGAAAGTAAAATGTCAAAAAAATACTTTAACAATAAATCTCTAAAAAATTAAGAAAAGTGCTAATGGACAAAACCACAGACTCTAGACAGCAAAAGCAGCAGGCTCAAGTACAGCTAAACTAAAATCAGGCCAAAGACTTCTGAAATCCAATCTACCTTTTATGGAATACAGATTTTTTAAAAATGCATAGATATCTTGGCGTAAGAAGTTTTATGCATACCGAATGCTGCAAATAAGTAGTTCCATTCCCATGTCCCCACCAACAGCATCTCAGATGGGCCAATCTTATGCAGAGAAATTCCCACTGCTGTTTTCATCAGACAGGCAAGAGAGTACCCAGGACCCAAATATTTAGGGCTTTAAAGAGGAGAACCAATTCTTCCAGATGCATCCAACAAACAATATACACATAGTCCTTGCTTAATGACTGCCCTGTTTAACGACCGTTGGAAGTTACAATGGCACTGAAAAAGTAATTTTATGACTGGTCCTTGCACTTACAACTTCACAGCATCCCCACAGTCACATGATCAAGATTTGGACACTTTGCAACTGGCAGGCGTTTATGACCATCACAGTGTTCCACGGCCGCCAGATATCTCAGGCAGCTAGAGGTAGTGAACTACCGGAGGGCCTTTTCACTTGCCC